GTGTGTGTGTGTATATATATATATATATATATATATATATATAGAGAGAGAGAGAGAGAGAGAGAGAAAATACCTATACTAATTAACGTAATATTATCTTTCAGATCATTGGTTATGTTCAGTTTTTTAATCTGTGGACCACAATTACATTTTGTAGTCCTGTGTGTGTTATTAGGTCTGAGTGCAGTCTTGCTTGCATAGAAGCATATATATATATATATATATATGTATATGCCTGCGTCAGTATATAATGTCTGCATTTGGCTATTATCACACCTGACTGCCCAGAGCAAACCTAATGAGTGTCTCTCTCACTCTGTGGGGCCGCAGGAGGGAAATGTCACAGTTACGAGTGGAGGACCAGCGCCTGGAATGACAACGAAAGATCAGTGTGGTGCCAGCGGTCTGATGGGGTCAATGTGACAGGTAGCCCACTGCTTACATTGAGACTGAGAGAATGACAAATATTCTGCTCTGACTTTACTTGCAGAAAGATAATCAAAAGACCTATCGACTCCACATGACTGAAAGTCTATTGACAATGAAAATCCTGTCATCATTTACCCGCTCTCATGTCGTTCCAAACCTGTATGCTGTTATTTTTACATTGGAACACAAAGGAGACTTTCTAACAACTTGTGAAGTTCATGGTGACCAGAGGGTTTAGAGAGAACTCCAAAAAGAAGAAAAAGAGAAATAGAAAAGCACCATAAAGGTAGTCATGCAAGTCTTCTGAAGCCACGCCATAGTTTAATGTGACAAACAGCCCCAAATTTGAGTCATTATTCACTGATAATAATTCTCCCAATCCGCTACAACTCTCAAATCAAACATTGCAATTAGGACTGTCAAATCGATTAATCGCGATTAATCACATCCAAAATAAAAATTTGTGTTTACATAATATGTATGTACTGTTTATATGTATATATAAATACACACACATACATTTATATATTTAAGAAATATTTACATGTACAGGTGCATCTCAATAAATTAGAATGTCGTGCTTATCTTGGATGCAATTAATGGCAAGTAAACGATTTGACAGCCCTAATTGCAATATTTGTGAAACGGGTTGTATGTTACTGTTCAAAAGTTTGGGGTCAGAAAGAATTATAGGAATTAGGAACAGACTTTTATGTTACATAATATATCGATTTCAAATATCTGTTCTTTGCCCTCACAAGAATAAATTCCATTTTAAAATATACTAAAATGGAAAACAGTTCTTTAAAAATTGAAATAATATTTCATAATATTATGTTTTACTTTTGATCAAGCAAATGCAGCCTTGGTGAGCGTAAAAGACTTCTTTCAAAGTCATTAAATATTGCCAGCAAAAAACTTACAAGCCCCAAACTTTTGAATGGTAGTGTTTTTTTTGTCTGTTTCTCACACAAAGTTATCATATGGCCTTGAAGACTTGGAATTATGTGCACAAGTCGCATAGTCCACTTTTATTGTGCTTTTACGGTCCTCTATGGAGCTTGACAGCCACTATGAACTCTTGTTGATTGGAAAAGGTACGATACATTCTCCCTTTGTGTTCCAATGAGAAAATAACAGAATGCAGGTTTGGAATGACATGAGGGTGAGTAAATGACAAGATTTTCATTTTTGGGTGAATTATCCCTTTAACCCTAAACGCAGGCTGAAAATTCAACATTTTCCCTATTCTCACCCTCCATTTCAACAGACATCATCAATAAACTAGCGCTTGTCTGAAAGCGAACAATATACATGTTATAAAACATTGTTTGATTGTGGCAAAATGAACACGCTCCAGATGGCAAGCTTTCACGTGAGCGTTTAGAGCAAGAATGAAGGTTTTCGGGTTGAGCGAAGTGCTGTAAATAACAGAGAAAGGTGATCTTATCTGAGTACGGAATCGTCTCGGGCAAATATAAGCTGTGAGAGGTAATCTCTTCTGCTTGAGAAAAACCCGAACCCAGGGTATTAGTCTCTGATGTTTTGACATGTAATTTTCTATTCCAAAATTACAATCTTCTCTGATTGATCAGAAGTTGTGATGGGTCCTTTAAGCCATTAATCAGGTGTGACATCACTTTTATCTGGCCATCAATAGGGAAATGGCAATAATTATCTCTGTTGTTTCCTGTTGGAAGGGGGCTGCTTTCCACAGAACCGGCCAACCACTGTGCGGCACTGTGACCCTCCCTGCACCAAACCCTTCTCCCACTGCAAGCAGGTAAACACACTGAACCATATCTATTTTCACATTAAACCACTGTGTAAATAACACAAAATAAGAAAAAGAAAATCATCTTGTTCTGTAGTTTGTATTTAATAGCTTGCTATTTGTGAAATCTACATGTAACATGTAAAATGTTACTTTTTATTTTACAGAAGCATTTATGTTAAACGTGTGTATTATTTGAGCTGTAAAGTTGTTCTCGTCATTTTTTCAGTCATTTTAGTGTTTTCATTATTACATTGTCATGACTACAAATTTGTAAAATTGGATATAATACAGGGGGGAAAAAGATGAATAAGGGTTTTTCACACTAAAATCATAACCCATATTGTTTGACTTGTGGCTATATACTATTGAAACAGAATTTTAACATTTACAGAACTGGCCCTGTATACAGTGCCTCGATGTAACCCAGATAGTTTGCTTGCTTATGAAAAGGAGGGACAAACTGAAATTAGTTTTTGTTCTAATCAGGGTTATGCCACAAGTACTATGTTGTCTCAAGTTGCATTAAATGTAAAGTATTTCTTTAAACACAGCAGTGTCTTTATGCTCTGTCTGAGTGTGGCTCTCACAGCGATCTGTGTCTCCTTCAGAGCGGCGTGTGTGGCTGTGAAAAGGGCTACACTGAAGTGATGACCACACATGGATTCCTGGATTATTGCACCAAGACCCCAGGAGCTGACAACAAGAAGGCAGATGTGAAGACCAGCTCGGGAAGATTAAAACCAGGCACCACTCAGATCCAGGACTTCTTCGGGGAGTGGTCCCTGCAGCCACTCGGCCCAGGTATTTGAAATGCAGATGAAGACCAGGCTGATGTGGGCCAGCGGAGTGTGGCTTTGAGTTATAGCAGAATCGCTGGACGCCTTTATGAGACTTCAGATACAGGCTGATATAGAACTCTGTTTAATGCCTCAGTGTTTATGCCCTATTGGAGCTATGAGAAAAGCTGCAGAGGACAGAGTCTTATAACAGCGTGATTTGTATTGCCCATAACTTGACAGACAGAGTTGCTTTATTGCTGGCTGGAGGCCATTTCTGATTAGAAGTGAATTTTGCGGCCTGTGGTACAACAACTGTGTGCCGTCAGGTTACCAGTAGGTGTGGGTATCAGCCTCCAGATGGAGGGACAAAATTCAGAGAATTACCAGTTCTGTTATTTGCAAAACAAACTATGACTACTCTACTGTACAAGGACACGTCTGTCTGGATTATATTATATTATATTATGCCATTTAATTTTTTTTATTATTAGATTTTGGATTACCGTTCAGAAGTTTGGGGTCAGTAAGATATTTTTTTGAATGAATACTGTTATTTAGCAAGGACTGTGCGTTATTGACAAAAAACTATATCTCGATATTTTATGGGATTTTATCGATAACGATAATTAGATGATAATTTGCTGAGTGTTATTGTGCTGGTACCTTAAGGACTACTGTGGACAGCTGACAGTTTTTGATATTCTTCATATTCTGTGTGGTGGTCAGTTCACAGCAGTGACAGAGATTAATCTTTTCCAATAAATTCAAATAGATTTTTACCTTTTATGGCCCTTTTTTACCTTTATAAAGCCATTTTTTTCTAAAAGTGTGCATCATCTTTTGAGTTGACTTCTTACATTTAATCAGTCAATCAGAATATTAAGACATTTTGGCTGTTACCAAGCAAATTCAATCAGTATCAACAAAATTAATCTTTGCAATGCAGAGGAAACACAGAAGCTGCATCTGAAGCGGCATTTAGATGGTATTACACAGTTTAACGCAGCTCAGAGGGACATGAATGCAATTAACCTGCAGCTATAAATGCATAAATAATGTTTTTATATTTTAAACATAAAACGTTGAATACTGATATTTGAGATTATTTAAAAAATGTCAGAAGTGCATTTAAAAAATGAAAAGATACTATAAAAGTGAAATTAAAATCAAGTGAAAGCAGCAAGTCACTGTTAATAAGTCACTGTTAATAAGTGAGTCATTGCAATTTAACTGAATAATTTAAACGGGTGATTCATTCAGGAACGAAACACCGAAAACAGTGCTTTGGCTTTGTTTGGAATTATTTTTGTTGGTGAAATAGAGCAAAAACAGGCAATGTGGTCTCTTAATATTAACTTGTTTATTGAACCGTTGTATAAATCAATATCCCATTTCTAATCGTGCTGATTTTTGTAGAGAAAAAAACGGCACGTTTCGTGTGATATTGGTTAACTTTATGAAATGATATAAATGTATACATTTTCTGCCACCATATCTTGAATTTTGTGATCATCCTAAATGCATTTTATTTGACTGAATCATGCAGTGAAAGAACACACTCTAAATGTGCACGCGCACTAGTCTAACCTACTAGACTTCATCACGTACGCATGCACTCTTTAGGTGTGTTTGGTTTGGTTTTTGCAATATACTAGATCGTGTCAAATCGCACATCGTTAAAACCACAATTACTATATTATCGTTGATGATAAATATCGCACACCCCTAAAGGACACATTAGATTGCCAGTAAAGACATTTATAATGTTAGAAAATATTTTTTTGTTTTCTTTTTATCATAGAAACCAAAAAACTGCACTCACAGTTTCCACAAAAATATTAAGCAGCACAACTGTTCAGCATATCAGAATGATTTCTGAAGGATCATGTGACACTGAAGATTGGAGTAATGACTGCTGAAAATTCAGCTTTGCCATCACAGGAATAAATTACATTATAAAATATATATTAAAATAAAAAAAGTTATTTTAAATTGTAATAATATTTCACAATATTACTGTTTTGTACAGTATTTTTGATCAAATAAATGCAGCCTTGGTGAGCAAGAGACTTATTTCAAAAACATTCAAAAATGTTTTAGACCCCAAACTTTTTAACAGTATTTTATTCATTATATTTGGGATTATATTATAAACAAATTGAAATTCAGACCTGTGTTGTAATGTTTGTTAATAGCTTATTAAACCAGGTGCATTCAGATGCAGCAGTACCTCAAGTGACCCACCAAATATTATTTGATCTCAAACTGAGTTTGTGCAAACATTTATTAATATATATTAAACAAAAATACTATATTAAAGGGGCCATATGATGTTGCTAAAAATAACATGATTTTGTGTATTTGGTGTAATGAAATGTGTTTATGCGGTTTAAGGTTCAAAAAACGCATTATTTTCCACATACTGTACATTATTGTTTCTCCTCTATGCCCCGCCTTTCTGATTCTTACAAAGCTCATCGGTCTGAAAAGTGAGGCGTGCTCTGATTTGTCAGCTATCCAGTGTGTTGTGATTGGCCGAATACCTCAAGCGTGTGACGGAAATGTTACGCCCCTTACCATACTGTGATGCCTGCTCTAGGCATGACGAAGCGGATATCGTCCTCTTTTGGAAGACCAAACAAAGTAGTTTCGCTTTCACAACGAAACACAGCGTCTTCACGACATGGCGGCGGCGGCAACAATACTACAGCGAGAATAAAAGTTACGCCTTCTTTCTTTGCGTGAACATTTGGGCGGCGTTATGCAAATCTTCCCACATCGTGACGTAGACATGTGGAGGCGTGTTAGAACAAGCCATTTTAGGTAGGCGTGGTTGACTCTTAACTTTTATAAAGAATATCTCTTTGGATTTGAGACTTTAGTCTTTGCAACTTTAAAGATCTTCTTTATGCACCAAGAGCTTGTAACACTTAAAAGAGAAAGGAAAAATTGAAATCGCATCATATGACCCCTTTAAGTTAACTTCAATAAAGCTAAAATAAACATTGCAATACGTAGTTGTAAAATATAATATAGAAGTATATAACACCATAATGGGTTTGCAATGTAAGGATCATTACAAAATTATAGGCCAGAGTTTTATAGGTCAGAGCTCAGTTTTATAAAATACCTAATAGAATGTCTTTACTCAATTTTTTCTATGCACTAGTGGGCTTCTTCTCTGAATTAAAGTTGTTCTAAAGTGTTACAAAACTTAGCAGGATCTTCTTTTGCTAAGAGTAGTTTTTGCATCATCTATTCTGTGAGTCTCAAAGGATCCAGGTCTGTTGCTACATGAGAAGCTCTCTGTGCAGCTCATCAGACTGCTGTCTTTTGTCTTTTATCTGAGAAATGTATTCTGAGACCTTGTCATATTAGTTATACAAGCATCTTAATGGCTCTATGACACACACCTCATTCTTTGCTCTGAACTCAGAATGGAAGATGGTGAAACAGTTTCTTCAGGTACATTGTCACCAGCAGTGTTGGGGGTAACGCATTACAAGTAACGCGAGTTATGTAATCAGATTTTCCGTTTTTTCAAGTAACTAGTAAAGTAACACATTACTTTTTAATTTACAAGAGAATATCTGAGTTACTTTTTCAAATATACTTTCCATAAAATTTTTTTTATGGAGTAATGCAATATTGTAATGCATTACTTTTAAAAGTAACTTTCCCCAACACTGGTCACCAGCATGAATGTGCCATCTGTTACTGCTGTAACAGGCCCCTGTGTGGAAACCACAAGCAATAAAAATGATACTCCTATATATTTCAATGGTGATCACACTCCTGTTTTCTGATTACACAGATGGAAGAATAAAGCTGTGGGTCTATGGGTTAACAGCTGGAGGATTCATTCTCATATTATTCATAATTACTGTGGCCTTTCTGTTTTGGTATGTATGCTATCAAATTTTAACACACTCACCATTGAACGGAAAGACAGTACGTGTTTGAAAACAGTCAAATTTTTTTGTGTGTGTGATTTTGGTTGATGAGAGAAATTGCACTTCACCTATTGACTATTTGTTATAGCCTTTAGTCTGACTTATAATAACATTTTGCTGCCATCTAGTGGTATAGTGTAGAAATAAAATAGAGGGCAGCAGTATATATCTTACATTTCACTGATCTCTCTTTTTCCCCTCGTCTTTATGCCAGCAAACCATCCAAACAGAGTAAAAGTTCATCTCCACCACAGAAGCCCCTGACTCTGGCCTATGACGGGGATGTGGACATGTGATCAAGCTCTCTGTGACTGTACATTCAAAGCACAAGCTGGACTACGTGCAACATTTTAATATGTTCATTTCTCCAAGGCACCCTTTGGATTTTGGGAAAAATAAAAAAAAGAAACAGACATCGAAGAACATTTCGATCTTGAAGTCTGAAGCGTACACGAAACGTTGTGTGCAAGACAGCAAGGACAAAGGTTGTGGATCAGTGGTCGTAGTCGTGAAAATCGTGACATTTAAAGAGGGTACAAGACACAGCTGACATTCCATGGACCAGATGGAGGACTTCGACATTTTCTTGCCGTGATTTTTCTTACATCAGAAAAAAAAGAGAAAAAAAAAAAAGTTCAAATTGTGCTGAATCTATTGTATCAGTCACATTAAAAGCCAGTTCACCCAAAAATGAAAAGTGTTTCATCATTTACTCACCCTCAAACCTGTATGACTGGATCACGACCGGACAACCAGCTTATTGAGTCAGTGAAATGAACGAATGAGTCCAATTTGTGAATAAATCATTCTGATCAGTTTTGTGAACTGAATCAGATATAGGTGACTCAAAATAACTTTGTTCATGTCAAGATTTTCAGTGAAAAAATGACTTAAATTGCAGTTTGATTGTCTCACAAAGTTATTGTATAATTAAGAAGACTTGAAATATAATGCACAAGTTGTGTGTATAAATTGTACTTGTATTATTCCATAATAATTATACGTTTGTTATGCTTTTACATTATTTTAGATGCTTGAAAGCTCCAGTCGCTGTTCATAATTGCATTGACAAAAACAGCTAGTACATTTTTAAGATTTATCCTTTTATGTTCCACAGATGAAATAAAGTCATACAGGTTTGCAACATCTTGAGGGTGATTAAATGACTGAATTTTCATTTTTGCGTGAACTATACCTTTAAGCTGATCTGAAAGTGACTTTTTAACAGAGAGCGAGAAAAGAATAATGTGTTATGCACTATATTAGTGCTTAGTCATTCTTTAGTTTCCTCTTGATCTATGTTCAAACAGATTTTCTAGTGTTTTTTTCATTGTGATGCAAGGACTTGTGCTGTAAACTCTTGTTTTTGTGTTAGAATGTCTCTGAACTTGTGTGTGATCCGCACATTAAACCAAAACACAGCTCATTTAGACACCGCGAGAGGTTAAGGTGATGATCTGCCCGTGTGCTGCTTCCACACGCCTCCGTTTGTCCTTTAACCTCCGTCTAGCAGCTGAAAAATTGATGAGGTCTGCTTCAACACCAGCAGATAATGAACTGTGTTCCTGTGACGCGCAGAAGGGTTTTTGAAAGCGGCTTCCTGCAGTATCCTGCGGTTAGAGGAACTCATTTAGCACAGATACAGTGGACCGATGCGTTTGTGTAGAGTCTGCATGATCATAACACCGGGAGAGGTGCTTCAACACTATGAATGTTCTTTTTGCTTTACTGACTGACTTCTTGCTGGCATAATTGTCTTGACTAGGCCTATCTGTTTCAAGACCTTAAAGGGTTAGTTCACCCAAACATTTAAATTAGCCCATAAATTACTCACCCTCAAGTCATCCTAGGTGTATATGACTTTCTTCTTTCAGACGAATCCAGTCGGAGTTATATTAAAAATTGTCTTTGATCTTTCAAGCTCTATCGTTGTACTCAGCGGGTGTTGCAGTGCTTCGGTTCAAATGACGTGAAATAAAAAGCACCCTTCCACAAAAAAAAGTGTCTCACAGGGCTCCGGGGGGTGAACAAAGGCCTGTAGCAAATCGATGCGTTTTTGTAAGAAAAATATCCATATTCAAAACGTAATAATCACTTGAATCTAGCTTGCGCTCACGGTTTTAAACGGAAGCAGTTCCGTGGGAATGACGTATGAGGTCAGCTATGCGCATGCGCGGCTCAGAAGTGACGCACGCGGAGAGATCCAAACAAAACAACGGTCACTAATTAGAAGCACAAAACGAGGATTTGTAAAGAAGAATGTCGGAGGATTTCGATATAAGCCAAGAGGAGACTTGTTTTCCTTTGCTAAAGTAAGGAAACTTTGCTTCTTTTGATCCTGTAAACAAACGTTGGTTTTCACGAGACTCACCGGCGCATGCGCAACGCTGACCTCATACGTCATGCTCCCGGAACTGCTTCTGTGTACAACTGTTGGCGCAAGCTAGATTCAAGTTATTATTACGTTTTGAATATGGATATTTTTCTTACAAAAACGCATTGATTAAGTGCCAAGGTTCGCTTCGCTCCTTGTACTGCCACGACAAAACATTTCCTGAATCTCAACGGTCCTCATTATAATAAGATAACTTGTGGTTTTTAAGCTACGCAAGACTTCTGGTTCATGGGGTCTTACTTTACCGGAAGAATGTATTCTGTATGTGTTACATACATGCACATGTATTTGTTCCTTCATTTTTGGATTTTGTTCTTTTTGTCCCATCGGTATTTCTGCTGCCGTCCATGTTGGCTGGATAGTCTATATAAAGAACAGAACAGTTTGAACAAAACCTCTGTTTGAGACCCATCCGGATGATCTGCTGCTCTTAGACTGAGTACATCAAAAGGCTTCGGTGTATTTCTAAATTAGTCCACCGATGTGAGAAGCTAAAATGTGTATAGCTTATAAGATTATTCCAAAAGTGGCCTTGCAAATTTTATGGAAATAGTGACAAACTCAACAGTGTGTTTTGTTCATTTGATTCCCTTGGTTTTTATTTGTTGCCCCTTAGAACTGACTTGTTTACATGACTTCTTCTTCTTCTAATATGTTCAGTATGCTCTCAGCACTATACAGTTGCCTGTAAAACACTGATCTTTAGTTACATAGTACTTTCTGTTTTAATTGTGTGTACTTAAAGAGTTGAATGAAAATGCTAATAAATTGTGATACTCTGTGGGAAATGTTGTTGCTTGTTAATCCTATGTTAATCTGCATCAAAGATGGATGGTGGTTTCAGCTACTTGGACAGAAGTGAGGTAGATGCTGTGCCTTTGTACCATACACTACTTTTAAGTTCATAGCTGTCAACACATTTGTCTTTTAAATCATACATACTTAATTAAGAGGCCATTCGAAGGAATAGTTCACCCAAAATGGAAAATTAGCTGAAAATGTACTCACCCTCAGGCCATCCAAGATGTAGATGAGTTTGTTTCTTCACTGGAACAGATTTGGAGAAATTTAGCATTACATCACTTGCTCACCAATGGCTCACCCAATCCTCTGCAGTGAATGGGTGCCATCAGAATGAGAGTCCATGGATTTTAGTCGGAAGCAACATTATGAAGTTAAAAAAATGACGATGTATTTATTACAAACACACTGTTCACTTCACAAGATGTTAATTGATGGACAAGAGTTCAGGAATTCCTTTTGGATTATCATGACTCATGTGACACTCATTCTGACGGCACCCATTCACTGCAGAGGATTCATTGGTGAGCAAATGACGTAATGCTAAATTTCTCCAGATCTGTTCAGATGAACAAAGTCAAACTCATCTACAACTTTGGATGGCCTGAAGAACGAGTACATTTTCAGCAGATTTTCATATTTTGGTGAACTACTCCTTTAATAAGACTGTCCTTATAAAACAATACTCATGTTCTTTTATAGATGCTGAACTCATTCCACATTTCATTTTTAATACCCATCATAAACCAACAGATGGAGCAAGATGGAAACTAAGACAAAAGATGGAAAACAGACAGAAACAAACATAACAAAACAGTCCTGTTATTGTGTGAATACCGTGAGAAAAAGTATCTGAAGTAAAGTGAATTGTGTTAAATGTTCTGTTGTCTGACCATCGTCACACAGCTCTGAATGTCTCTAATGTGCAGCCCATCAGATCCTTCCACTTCAGGATGTTGAATCGTTTAAATCTTTTGTTTAATCAGTTTTTATTAGTAAAGCCTGTCATTTATGCTCAAGGATGAGATGAATTTAACCAGACTTGTCAGTGCCACCTAGGGGACACGTGTCTGGGTGGTGTGATTCTGTCAGGCTTAATTTTTCCATTAAGCCTTAATAATTCTGCAGAAGATTTCCCATGAATCTTTGTGGGTTCTCTCATTTTAATCATGAATTTCTATTCACCAGGAGCAGATCTGTTTAACAAAGTTTGACATGATCAAACTGACTGAGGAGAGAAGTGGGAAAATTGCTTTATCTGTTTCTTGTAATAAAGAAAATGGTAAGAGACAGATTAAAGAATGATCACTGAATTTTTGTCTTGTTCTCTTTTCTTGTATATTTGGATCAAAATGATGAGGGCCGGACTAGTGCATAACATTTCCATCAGTGCTGATTTAAACTTGAAATTGAACTAACTTAAGTAACTATCAACAAAGTATATAAGCTTATATTATTTTAACAAAGGAAGCTAAACTGTGTGTATGTTTAGGCTCAGAGAGACATTTAGTTTGCATTATTCTATTATAGGTATATACGTAATGTATGTATGTTTATGTAAGATTAATTTGAATTAATACATGCCTATTCTCAATCTTTTACGCCGTGCTGAATTGACTTTAATGTCTGTTTTTGTCTGTACTGTTGCCAGACAAGTTCATTAACAAGGATAAACTGAATAAATGGATGAATGAATAAATACACAAGCAAATAAACAAGGTGATTAAAGTATTCGTATTTTATATGCTGTATTTGTCATGTTTTATCTCACAGCCTTACTTCTCAGGCATGAATTATTTAATACTGTCCTGTCTGTCATTATGTGGCCTAGTTTAATAACATGGATTGAATGTAAGTTGAGTGTTTTGTGTTAGCATGTAGTTTAAGGGAAATCATAGTGTGCTGTAATTTCACTTACATGGTTGTGAAGTGTGAAGTGAAATTCCACTGATGAACACATGAGGGCAGCAGTCAGCTGAGCACGTGGTCTCATTTAAGTTATTATTTTCTGTTCCTGTCAAGTGACATGTTGATGGCTTCGTGGCTTGTGATACAGTCTATAGGAAATTACTAAATGTATGGGGGAAAAAATATTTGTAAATGTGTTTACTAATAAAATAAATATTTGTGCTGGTGAACAACCTAATACTAAAATATAATTTAAATATAAGTAGTGGAGAGCCATGGTTTTCACTTAATATGTTTTGTTATATTTCCTTTCAATTAAAATTATAAGAGCATCTAAAACAGGAGTGAACTCAATTCCTGGAGGGCTGGAGAGTTTTGTTCCAACCCTGCTCCAACACACACACTATGAAGTTTTCAAATAAGCCTGAAAAACGTGATTAGTTGGATCAGATGTGTTTAATTAGGGTTTAATCTTGTGTAGCACTGCGTCTTTAACGATGTGGGCGGGGCTCATCTCTGTCTGGATGTGAAGCGGCCCAGCGTCCCACCAGCGGTGTGAAAACGGAGAGAAGTGAAGGTAAGCCGCGGCACATTTCTGCTTTCTCCATGTTATTATTAGTGCGCTGATGTATAGAGGCAGTCACCTA